TTGGATCCCAGCCCCGCTCGCCCCACACCGGGCAGCTGGGAGGACACACCTTCCTTGCATTTCATTCCCAGTCGAGTATAAACAGGGACATGCAAACACGCACGTTTGGGGTGGGTTGGTTGGGTTTTTGTAATGAGAAATAAACCTTTGTAACCACTCCTACAGCTCTGGATCAGCAACAGGCTGCTAGAGCCGCCTCTGGGGTCCACTTGGACACAGCCACAGGTCAGGCTCTGCCTGAGGGTCTCAGTCCCTTGCAGGCTGGCCAGTGCTGAGACACCATCACAGCTTCATATGCTCTACCAGCCTGGAGAACCCCCCAAGATGGACTGAGGTGGACTTGAAACCTCTCTCCACATTCAGGCCCACCTGGAGGTGGGAGAGTTTCAAGCAGGCACAGTTGCAAAGCTGAGCCCTCCCAAGTGATTGTGCCAGTCGCCCCGAAGGCGTGAGGAGGCAGGATGGCCACTGCTGCACTCCTGGCCACAGCCACCACACAAGGAAAGCACGGAGGGAGCCTCTGCTCCCAGGGCACCAGGGCTGGTCCCCAGGCAGGGCAGAGCAGCCTGCAGGGCTGGCGATCTGTTCGTGCAGCCCCTGGCAGCTCAGAGCCACCACGGCACATGTCCAGCTGCTGGGCAGCCAGGCAGAGCCAGTCCCGACTCGTCAGGCCCGTCTGGATGGGGCCTCCCACCCCACGCCCCAGGAGAGGAGCTGGGGTTGATCTGCCTGTCCCCCACAACCACTCTGCTTTTAGCTGTGCGGGTGGGTGCTCCCCATGCCTCTGCAGAGGTGTGATGCCAGTTCAGGGGACATTCTGAGCCCCCAAACACAGTTTCCTCCCTGGGCCAGTCAGCTCCCCAGAACAGGGGCTCCCATGGCAATGCTTGGGGGCTGTCGAGAGCTCTCTCACAGAAGGAGGCACTTCTGGTGTCAAGCTGAGGTGCTGCTGCTCTGCTCTGAGAAACCAGCAAGCATCCAGAACCCAGCTGGGCTTCCCCCTCTAAGAAATTCAGCAGCAGCTGAATCAGAGCTGGACATCCACCAAGAGCAGCTGGTTTGCCCTAGTCATGATTTAGAGCTTGCCATTAGGAGAAATGCAGTAAAAGAGGCTTCTTAATCTTCCCCCGTGCCCCTCTGGGTGTGTGGGATTTGGGACAGCAGCATTGCCCTGCCAGCTGGCTGCAGACTGGGATGGACACTGGGTCTGGTCAGGTGATGGGCCCCGAGAGCAAGGCAGGCATGGCACAGAGGGGACAGGACCTCAGGGGCTGTGTGGCTGCAGGCCCAGCTCAGCCCCATTCAGGCAGGCGAGACAAGTTTTGCTGCTGCAGGGACAGGGACACCATGCCCAGCTCAGCTCCAGGAACAGAGAGCCACACCTCTGTCCCCTCACGGCTGAGCTCAGGCCCGGCCGTGCCCGCAGCCCCTTCAGCCTGTGCTGGCAGACTGTGGGGCCCGTGGCCACGGGGGGAGCAGAGCTCTCTGCCCCAACACGTACTGCTGGAGCTGCTCGGGGTCACACCACCAGCTCTTCCCCTCCCACTGCCCCAGCCACAACAAGCACCTCCAGATCCCAACTTTTATTGCACCCGCCACGTGTGATGTTCAGAGGGCACCTGGGAGACAGGAATCCCTGCGGTGCCTCCACCACGCTCCCTGCAGGATCGACTGATCCGAGCTCCCGGGCAGTGCCACGGAGCCCACCAGTCTCACAGGCAGCATTAGCATGGGCAGGCTGGGCAGGCAGGACACGGGCACGGTGCTCTGCTGACTACTCCACAACGTCCCCGTACTTGTTCCTCCTCACCGGCACTGCCGCCCTCTCTCTGTCCTCTGGGCTGGGCAGATTTTCTGCAACAGAAACAACAAGCTCCCTTGACCCCTGATTATCCTGGCACATCTGCCAGGGGCAAGCAGAGAAGCACAGAGTGCCGGTGAAGCACTCAGAGCCTCTTCAGGCCCAGCTCTGGGAGCTCAGGCAGGAGAAAGCAGCAAGCAGCCACGGGAACTGCCCAGCCGTGGCTGTCCTGCTGCCCCTCCAGCTCTGCCGACAGCACAGAGCAACCGAGGTGCGGAGGGGTTTACTGCCTCCACCCAACCCCTACCCTCTTCTTCCTCTTCCAGCAAACAGCTTCGTGCTGGGTGTCATGAACACACAAAGCAGGCTGGGCAGCAGGCAGGGGCGAGTGGTCCCAGCCCACCCCACCAGTGACTCCAGGGACCAGCGGGACACAGGAGCCAGGAGAGCAGAGAGGGTGCTGCAGCCACCTGGGCACTGCTGCCACCCCAGGTACCCGCCCCCTGCCGTCGGCTGCGGGATGCCAGCGTGGGACTTACATGGGGATTTTGGCACCAACGCAGCCACCGGCTTAATTATGAGTCAGGAATAGCTAATTGTTGGAGCAGGGAACAACCACGTGCGACAAGACCAGGGAAAGCAGCAGCAACAGATGTGAACGTACCTGTGGGCTGAGACCCCCTACCAGCCAGGGCGAGCTCCTGCGGGGACTTGCCTGTCTCCAGGTAAATCCAGAAGTCAGAGCATTTCTTTGTCTCCGCTCTGGTTACCACGTAGCTGGCGATGGACCCTGTGGCTGAAGAGACCAAGGTGCTCCCGAGCGCTGGGCGTTTGCTGAGGGCA